CTGTCTGTATCGTGATATGTCAGAATCATAGACTGTCTGTATCGTGATATGTTAGAATCACAGACTGTCTGTATCGTGACATGTCAGAATCACAGACTGTCTGTATCGTGATATGTTAGAATCACAGACTGTCTGTATCGTGATATGTTAGAATCACAGACTGTCTGTATCGTGATATGTTAGAATCACAGACTGTCTGTATCGTGATATGTCAGAATCACAGACTGTCTGTATCGTGATATGTTCGGAAACACAGACTGTCTGTATCGTGATATGTTAGAATCATAGACTGTCTGTATCGTGATATGTCAGAATCACAGACTGTCTGTATCGTGATATGTTAGAATCACAGACTGTCTGTATCGTGACATGTCAGAATCACAGACTGTCTGTATCGTGATATGTTAGAATCACAGACTGTCTGTATCGTGATATGTTAGAATCACAGACTGTCTGTATCGTGATATGTTAGAATCACAGACTGTCTGTATCGTGATATGTCAGAATCACAGACTGTCTGTATCGTGACATGTCAGAATCACAGACTGTCTGTATCGTGATATGTTAGAATCACAGACTGTCTGTATCGTGATATGTCAGAATCACAGACTGTCTGTATCGTGACATGTTAGAAACACAGACTGTCTGTATCGTGATATGTTAGAATCACAGACTGTCTGTATCATGACATGTCAGAATCACAGACTGTCTGTATCGTGATATGTCAGAATCACAGACTGTCTGTATCGTGACATGTCAGAATCACAGACTGTCTGTATCGTGATATGTTAGAATCATAGACTGTCTGTATCGTGATATGTTAGAATCATAGACTGTCTGTATCGTGATATGTCAGAATCACAGACTGTCTGTATCGTGATATGTTAGAATCACAGACTGTCTGTATCGTGACATGTCAGAATCACAGACTGTCTGTATCGTGATATGTTAGAATCATAGACTGTCTGTATCGTGATATGTTAGAATCATAGACTGTCTGTATCGTGATATGTTAGAATCACAGACTGTCTGTATCGTGATATGTTAGAATCACAGACTGTCTGTATCGTGACATGTCAGAATCACAGACTGTCTGTATCGTGATATGTCAGAATCACAGACTGTCTGTATCGTGATATGTTAGAATCACAGACTGTCTGTATCGTGATATGTTAGAATCACAGACTGTCTGTATCGTGATATGTTAGAATCACAGACTGTCTGTATCGTGACATGTCAGAATCACAGACTGTCTGTATCGTGATATGTCAGAATCACAGACTGTCTGTATCGTGACATGTTAGAATCACAGACTGTCTGTATCGTGATATGTCAGAATCACAGACTGTCTGTATCGTGATATGTCAGAATCACAGACTGTCTGTATCGTGACATGTTAGAAACACAGACTGTCTGTATCGTGACATGTCAGAATCACAGACTGTCTGTATCGTGATATGTTCGGAAACACAGACTGTCTGTATCGTGATATGTCAGAATCACAGACTGTCTGTATCGTGATATGTCAGAATCACAGACTGTCTGTATCGTGATATGTCAGAATCACAGACTGTCTGTATCGTGATATGTCAGAATCACAGACTGTCTGTATCGTGATATGTTAGAATCACAGACTGTCTGTATCGTGACATGTCAGAATCACAGACTGTCTGTATCGTGATATGTCAGAATCACAGACTGTCTGTATCGTGATATGTCAGAATCACAGACTGTCTGTATCGTGATATGTCAGAATCACAGACTGTCTGTATCGTGACATGTCAGAATCACAGACTGTCTGTATCGTGATATGTTAGAATCATAGACTGTCTGTATCGTGATATGTTAGAATCACAGACTGTCTGTATCGTGATATGTCAGAATCACAGACTGTCTGTATCGTGACATGTTAGAATCACAGACTGTCTGTATCGTGATATGTCAGAATCACAGACTGTCTGTATCGTGACATGTTAGAATCACAGACTGTCTGTATCGTGATATGTTAGAATCACAGACTGTCTGTATCGTGATATGTTAGAATCACAGACTGTCTGTATCGTGACATGTTAGAATCACAGACTGTCTGTATCGTGATATGTCAGAATCACAGACTGTCTGTATCGTGACATGTTAGAATCACAGACTGTCTGTATCGTGATATGTTAGAATCATAGACTGTCTGTATCGTGATATGTTAGAATCACAGACTGTCTGTATCGTGATATGTTAGAATCACAGACTGTCTGTATCGTGACATGTCAGAATCACAGACTGTCTGTATCGTGATATGTTAGAATCACAGACTGTCTGTATCGTGACATGTTAGAATCACAGACTGTCTGTATCGTGACATGTCAGAATCACAGACTGTCTGTATCGTGACATGTCAGAATCACAGACTGTCTGTATCGTGATATGTCAGAATCACAGACTGTCTGTATCTGGACTGTTTGTTTCTCTGATCTGTTGTTGAGGAATCCACAACACTGTAACAAATGATACAACATGAGGTAATAATTGCTTGAATCTAGTGTTTTTATCTTAATCTGACACATTCTGTGTTAAAACCAGATTCTCCAAAGAACGGAGACTGAAGAACTGCTGCTTTCCTCATTCCAAAAGAGACATGTGTCTTTTTAAAACAGTATCCTTCTGTTTAGTGCCATTGGAGAGTCTAGTTTAAAGGCAGAATGTGCTCATGTTAAAGTGCATTTTACCAAATTTGAGCAGTTTTTGACATATTTTTCATCACTTTTTGTAGATGAGCAAGAAAAGCTAGATTTGAATGTTTCTGTTTCACTCTCCTGCCACAGACCGTTGTTACGAAGGAGGCCCCTGCTCTGCTTCAAATGCAAATCAAAGTAATGGTGTGTTTGAAACACGTGTTGTAGTAACCTGTGAGGAGCCGTAATACTTCATTTCCACTCAGTGCGCTCCATGCTCTGCTGAGCGTCTGTCAGCGTCAGGAAAACTCCATTAAGAGCAGAGCAGGGCGTCTGCGGCTCCGCTGCTGATTACTGTATACTCTGCACAACATGGCAGACATTTCTCAGCCTCGGGCCCCTGTCAGGAGCTGGGGCCGCTCCCAGGGCCCCTGTCAGGAGCTGGTCCCAGACCCACGTTCATCTGGACCTGCAGAAACACAGGGAAACTCTGAGGTCAAGTCTGAGAGGATCCACAGAACAGTCACTTTGTGCTGAGTCTGCACCGAGGACCTGTCCTCACTCAGTACGTTAGCATTCTGTACGTTAGCATTCTGTACGTTAGCATTCTGTACGTTAGCATTCTGTACGTTAGCATTCTGTACGTTAGCTTTCTGTACGTTAGCTTTCTGTACGTTAGCTTTCTGTACGTTAGCATTCTGTACGTTAGCATTCTGTACGTTAGCATTCTGTACGTTAGCTTTCTGTACGTTAGCATTCTGTACGTTAGCATTCTGTACGTTAGCATTCTGTACGTTAGCATCCTGTCCTGATGACTCTGACCTGATGACTCTGTCCTGATGACTCTGTCCTGATGACTCTGACCTGGTGACTCTGTCCTGGTGACTCTGTCCTGGTGACTCTGTCCTGATGACTCTGTCCTGATGACTCTGTCCTGATGACTCTGACCTGATGACTCTGACCTGATGACTCTGTCCTGGTGACTCTGTCCTGATGACTCTGACCTGATGACTCTGACCTGATGACTCTGTCCTGATGACTCTGTCCTGATGACTCTGACCTGATGACTCTGACCTGATGACTCTGTCCTGATGACTCTGTCCTGATGACTCTATCCTGATGACTCTGTCCTGATGACTCTGACCTGATGACTCTGACCTGATGACTCTGTCCTGATGACTCTGTCCTGATGACTCTGTCCTGATGACTCTGACCTGATGACTCTGACCTGATGACTCTGACCTGATGACTCTGACCTGATGACTCTGACCTGATGACTCTGTCCTGATGACTCTGTCCTGATGACTCTGTCCTGATGACTCTGTCCTGATGACTCTGACCTGATGACTCTGACCTGATGACTCTGTCCTGATGACTCTGTCCTGATGACTCTATCCTGATGACTCTATCCTGATGACTCTGTCCTGATGACTCTGACCTGGTGACTCTGTCCTGATGACTCTGTCCTGATGACTCTGACCTGATGACTCTGTCCTGATGACTCTGACCTGATGACTCTGACCTGATGACTCTGACCTGATGACTCTGTCCTGATGACTCTGACCTGATGACTCTGTCCTGATGACTCTGTCCTGATGACTCTGACCTGATGACTCTGTCCTGATGACTCTGTCCTGATGACTCTGTCCTGATGACTCTGTCCTGATGACTCTATCCTGATGACTCTGTCCTGATGACTCTGTCCTGATGACTCTGACCTGATGACTCTGTCCTGATGACTCTGTCCTGATGACTCTGTCCTGATGACTCTGTCCTGATGACTCTGACCTGATGACTCTGTCCTGATGACTCTGTCCTGATGACTCTGTCCTGATGACTCTGTCCTGATGACTCTGACCTGATGACTCTGTCCTGATGACTCTGACCTGATGACTCTGTCCTGATGACTCTGTCCTGATGACTCTGTCCTGATGACTCTGACCTGATGACTCTGTCCTGATGACTCTGTCCTGATGACTCTGTCCTGATGACTCTGTCCTGATGACTCTGTCCTGATGACTCTGACCTGATGACTCTGTCCTGATGACTCTGACCTGATGACTCTGTCCTGATGACTCTGTCCTGATGACTCTGTCCTGATGACTCTGTCCTGATGACTCTGACCTGATGACTCTGTCCTGATGACTCTGTCCTGATGACTCTGTCCTGGTGACTCTGTCCTGATGACTCTGTCCTGATGACTCTGACCTGATGACTCTGTCCTGATGACTCTGTCCTGATGACTCTGACCTGATGACTCTGACCTGATGACTCTGACCTGATGACTCTGTCCTGATGACTCTGTCCTGATGACTCTGTCCTGATGACTCTGTCCTGATGACTCTGACCTGATGACTCTGTCCTGATGACTCTGTCCTGATGACTCTGTCCTGATGACTCTGTCCTGATGACTCTGACCTGATGACTCTGACCTGATGACTCTGTCCTGATGACTCTGTCCTGATGACTCTGTCCTGATGACTCTGTCCTGATGACTCTGTCCTGATGACTCTGACCTGATGACTCTGTCCTGATGACTCTGACCTGATGACTCTGTCCTGGTGACTCTGTCCTGATGACTCTGTCCTGATGACTCTGTCCTGATGACTCTGACCTGATGACTCTGTCCTGATGACTCTGACCTGATGACTCTGTCCTGATGACTCTGTCCTGATGACTCTGTCCTGATGACTCTGTCCTGATGACTCTGTCCTGATGACTCTGACCTGATGACTCTGTCCTGATGACTCTGTCCTGATGACTCTGACCTGATGACTCTGACCTGATGACTCTGTCCTGATGACTCTGACCTGGTGACTCTGTCCTGATGACTCTGTCCTGATGACTCTGTCCTGATGACTCTGTCCTGATGACTCTGTCCTGATGACTCTGACCTGATGACTCTGTCCTGATGACTCTGTCCTGATGACTCTGTCCTGATGACTCTGTCCTGATGACTCTGTCCTGATGACTCTGTCCTGATGACTCTGTCCTGATGACTCTGTCCTGATGACTCTGACCTGATGACTCTGACCTGATGACTCTGACCTGATGACTCTGTCCTGATGACTCTGTCCTGATGACTCTGTCCTGATGACTCTGTCCTGATGACTCTGACCTGATGACTCTGACCTGATGACTCTGTCCTGATGACTCTGACCTGATGACTCTGTCCTGATGACTCTGTCCTGATGACTCTGACCTGATGACTCTGTCCTGATGACTCTGTCCTGATGACTCTGTCCTGATGACTCTGTCCTGATGACTCTGTCCTGATGACTCTGACCTGATGACTCTGACCTGATGACTCTGTCCTGATGACTCTGTCCTGATGACTCTGTCCTGATGACTCTGTCCTGATGACTCTGACCTGGTGACTCTGTCCTGATGACTCTGTCCTGATGACTCTGTCCTGATGACTCTGTCCTGATGACTCTGTCCTGATGACTCTGTCCTGATGACTCTGACCTGATGACTCTGACCTGGTGATCGCTTCCCCTGCTGCTGTTCAGTACACACCTGATGACACAGTGACACAGTTTATTCTATTGTGGTATTTCCGCCATGAACCCACATGTACATGAGTTTGTGTGACTCTCTAGCGCCCCCTGGATTGTTTTCAAACACGCTCAGACAGTGATAGATCTCTACGACACGAGCGTAAACCAACAGGAAGTCGGCCATGATGGACTGAAGTTTTGTCGCCAGTTTGACTTTTCATTTTTGGATTGGTTCTAGTTTTTGGTTTTTCAACACACAGACTTCTACCACGTCGTTTCTCCATCTGGACGGATTGAAGTTATATAATCATTTTAAAAAGTTAGATATTGGTCACCGCAGAAAATCACTGAGTGTAATCTTTGAACTGAGGCAAGAAAAACATTACATAATGCAAAAGTTGTATGTCCCACCCCTGACCACTGGGGGCGCCATGAAATGTGTGAATGAGCTTTTTGGGGCAAAATGTTTGTCCGATGAGGCTAAAAATGAGTTCACAAAAACAGCGTATGACCCTGAGCACAACGGTATGCAACACACAACTGTGAGTGCAACAGCGCCACCTACAGGAAGTTCAAAGTGTTGTGTTTTTGAATTCCATCTAGTCCCTGGTTTTTCATCGAACAGACTCCATCTGAACGGATAGAAGTTATATAATAATCGAGAAAATGTTAGAAACTCTTCACTGTTTTCATTCGAGGCAGTGGGGAATTTCTCCATATTCAATACTCTCCTAACTACAGGCTCAGACCAGTGGGGGAGGGTCCCGGCTCAAAAGTGGTCAAAATGACGTGCGCTGACATGCTGCAGTACCACCCCGGGCCTGTGGGGGTGGACCCAGAAGTAGAATTAGCCAATGCTAACATATAGCATTAGCAGACCTCTGGAAAACGTCTTTACAGGATGGTCCAAAAGTTGTCTCTTGGCCCAAAGCTCCGTTCCACATGTGTGTCAATGCTGAGGGTTCTGGACCAGTCTAGTTTAGTCGCTGTGGACTTTAGAAGTCTCTCGTTCAAATGAATGGAGCTCTCGCAGCTGACGCACAGATGCGTTTTTTCACAATTTTCTTGTGGGCGGGACCACTCGCGGCCATTTTGGATAGCTCCAGTAGAGCACATTGTTTTTAGAGACCTACAGAGCTGAATCTCACGTCACTAACAGTTGGTAATGGCCTGAGCGTCATGGTGTGAAAGTTCACACCTAATGTGACTCTACAGCGCCACCTATGGGAGGTACAGTAAAAAATTTACATCCGTACGAGTAAAATACTACATTACGTAGAGGGTGCATGTCCCGCAGATGACCACTAGGGGCACACTGAATCCTATTAATGAGCTTTTATGTGCCTAATCCTGGTCCGTTCAGGCGGAGAATTCATCGGGGAGTTCGGCACATGACGCTTATGGGACCGAGAGGCGGCTGCAAGAGTGGCAAGGGCTTTCATCACCGCTTGCGGCTTTAATATGATTGTTATTCTCATCATTATTATCATTTATGATCTTCAATAGATCCTGTTTGTGTTTGCGAACTTGACGGTTTTGTAAAGTCCTCTGAGTGTTGTGTGTGAACTGAACTGAGCAGAGTCAGCACCATGTGGACCGTTCTGGACCAGTTTGGACTCACTCATCAGTGCAAGGCTCTTAAACACTATAAACAATACCATAAAAGGTGAAATATTTCTGCAGCACAAATTCAGCACTGAATAATTTGAATAACCATTGTTCTAGTGTTAGGTCCAGGTTTCAGATGTTTCATCCAAGCTGAGTTTCCAAAGTCTTGCTCACATTCAGACCAGACTGTATAGATCCAGACCAGACTGAATAGATCCAGACCAGACTGAATAGATCCAGACCAGACTGTATAGATCCAGACCAGACTGAATAGATCCAGACCAGACTGAATAGATCCAGACCAGACTGTATAGATCCAGACCAGACTGAATAGATCCAGACCAGACTGAATAGATCCAGACCAGACTGTATAGATCCAGACCAGACTGAATAGATCCAGACCAGACTGTATAGATCCAGACCAGACTGAATAGATCCAGTCACGTCAGATTTGAAGATGATTTGTAAATCAGATGGATCACTGTTTATCAAAGATCTGACAATAACAATGTTTAAATCAGATTAAAACAGTTTCTGCACAAACTGAAGGATTTTGACTCTTTTTGGTGTGATTATTCATTATGCCTGTGCAGGACTGTGCTACACAGATAAACTCGCCTGCCTCACCACACACTGATCCAGATGGGTTTGTGTGTTCACTTCGTGAGTAATGATCTTTGGATGTAAATACAAATGATGTGATCTTTTGAGGCCCGAGTCAAAAGGGACTTTGACCTAATACTTTCATTATTCACGTTACTTCAGCAGCGAAGGTGGAGCCGCGCTGAATGACGGCGGCTCTGAAAGGCCATTCTTGTGGAGAATGCAGCCGCTTTAGCCGCGCGGGTCGCGGGAGGGTCAGGCAGAAGCGTTGACCGCTGGTTCACCGTGTGCCATTAGTCCTGGCGCTGGACAGGCCGAGCAGGGGCCCGGGCTGCGGCGTGGGACCATCCAGAGTTCACGCGGCCATTGTGCCCCCCCCACGCCCCCCTCAGCCCCCCCCCCTGGTCCTGCCCCTCTCTAGTGTATTATTGTGACCAGGACAATAACAGTTCGACATGCGTAAAGACGGTTGTGTACCTGCATGGGATTGGCGCATGCGCAGTGCGTGTCTGTCGCCGTAATGAAGCGTGACGGGTTTTCCAATAGACGCAGTGATCATTAATATCGGACTGTGACGTCATCAGCCGCTGTCAATAGGTTGTGTTAAAGGGTCACGAGTGATTATTTCATTTGGACAGAGATTTTTAAACACACTTTGACCTCATTCAGAAGCTTTTGACAAATGTATTTATGGCCTAAAGGCCGCGGCAGCTGACTCTGGAGCAGTCTTCCTGAAAATGTGACATGTTTCTGCAACAACTGAAGGGTTATTTATATTTACTCTTTTTATTGAACTGTGATTTTCTATGATGTGAACGTGCTGTGATCTTGTTGCACTGTGAGCCTATGAACTGTGCTATACAATTAAACTTACCTTTGGTCCTCATGAACTCAAACCAACGTGTGTTTGTGAACTCCACAAACATCACAGCGTGTGCAAATATATATCATATATTTGACTCACATAAACATCGTACATATACTAGTAAGTATAAGTATTGGTAGTATTACCGATAATACTTATACTTCGGGTAATACTCATATACTAATACTTATACATATTACTTTTGTACTGATAAACCATGCTGTAGAACCCAGGCCTGTCCCGGTCCAGCAGCTATGACCAGGTCGAGTGTGTTCTAACCTAACCAGGCTGAACCAGGTTTAACACGATGTACAGTGCGCGTGCATGTCCCGTGCGCGTGCCCGCGGCCCTCATGTGGAGCTCACATATAAAGCCTTTGAGCACTGTCTTTCTTTTGAGGCTCGTTTCACTTTTTCATCTTAGACAGGCTGACCGCGGGATCACCCTGCGCCCGGGGCCGAGCGGGGTCAAAGCCGCGCGCAGACGCCTTAACCCGGGTTAGACATTAACTGACCTCCGCCCGTGCGTGCACCCGGGAGCGCGCATGGGAGCAGACCCGCCGCTGCAACAACACAGTTTTTAACACATGCACGAGGAGGATTCTCACACGTGCACCCGCAGAGCCGTCGTTTTGACTGCTCCCGTTTGAACAATAAGATTCTGACATAAATCCATTGATTATTCATCTAAAAGTGAGAAGTCGAAAAGGTTTGTGCTTTACTCGCTTTGAAAAGTGCTAAAACCCGTGAATATAATAT